TTATTATATAATTAAAAGAAATTAGTAAAACTAGGTGAACCTATGAAAATTCCACACATGCAAACATGACTATCCATTATCTCATTATGCACAAATACCCTTTGAGAAGGGTATGAATTCATCTCTTCTCCACTAGCTATGGGTTAAATAGTTGGATTTGTGTTCTGAAAAAATCATTATCTGCTAAAAAAGAATTGTTAATGTAATATTCACTGGTAAAAAAAAAAATTTTTTTTTACAATCCAAAAATGTATTTTAGCTTTAAATAACCAACAAAGGATTAGTAAGTCATAAAAAGACAAATCAATCAATCCATTCTCCTTCCTGCTTTTCTTTTGCTCATTACCTGTGTCTTCTCATTCTCTCCCTTATCCCTTCCAATATTTATTGCTTATCTATTTAAGTATAGATCATAGTTTCATATGGGAAAAGAAAGAAATAATACAAAAATATTTTCTACTACATTCTCTCATTTATCTTTCTTTTACTCTTTCTATTTTAATGTATCACAATTCTTATCTCCCCTTCACTCTTCCACTCATTGTCTCTTGATATCTAATCAGTAAGTCTATCTGTTTTTTCCTCCATTCCTCACCCAATATATATATATATATAATTATTTTTCCATTTGCCTGGTGTTCTTTTTGTTTTTCTCTTTCGTACATCCATACTTTTCTCCTTTGGGACCTTTCTTCTCTCTTTCAATTTTCCCTATTCCTTCCTACTTAATATTATGCAGGTTTTGGGGGGGGGGTCAGAAAGTGTAATTGATTCTAGCTCAGATGGGCTAGGAATTGAGCAGCCACTACACTCTGATCTTTGTTAGAAATGCATAGCAAGCATACAAACAAGCAAAATAAAAGAATAGACAATCTATGAATTTCTTTGATAAAGCTTTGTCATTATTACTTTTTTTTTTACTTAATTTTTATTTTATTTCTGATGCTTTTTATTACAACTTTCACATCATTGTTATTATTAGCCTAGATTGAAAATGAAGGCTTATTCTTTATTTTTCAAAACCTTACAGCTTATTTAATAGAATAACAACCTAAGAAGTAACAAAAATTAGATGAAAGAAAGACTAGTTAAAAATTAAGTTACCAAAATATTTTTTTTAATTTGTTGTTAAATACTATTTTTTTTTCCATCTCAAAGTTTATTGCAAGAAGTTTTATATTTTATTCTGAAACCAATAAATTTCCCTGTATTTAATTTTAAAAACAGTGTGGTATGATGCTGATATAAAAATATGCATTGAAAATAGCACATATGAAAGAATGTCCTTAAAAAAAAAAAATGTCAGCTGCCAACCTATCCTCTTTCTCAAAATTTCCTAAATACTATTTTTATTCTATTAAGTTAAATAATGATGAGGATGCAATTCTAAGAATAAAGTTACTTTTAGTCATTATTTCAGTGAAATTTAAATATTTAACATGTTTTTGCCTATTGCTTATTGTTCATTTTATATTTGTAGTTTAGAAAACAAATTAATTTTATTCAAATTTATGTACAAGTTAAAAATATTTTACAAAAAGTTTAGTTACTTTTTGAATGCTATGGTTTTTATTCTTATAAGTCTTAACAAAGTTCTGAGACACTTTTTTATATTATATAGAAAAAATTGTAAAAGTACTCTCTTAATATGAAGAAAAGATTACAATATATTTTTGTGTTTTACTATTTACATAGATTATAAAGATTCTTTATTTGTAATTTGTTTTCAGCACAAAAAAAATATTTGAAAACTTTCAAATTATTATAGTATATAAAGATTAGAAAATTTATATGTAATTTTTATATTCACTTTTAAAAAATTCAGGTTTGTCATGTATTATCAGTTAAAATGTTCAAGAATTATAAATACTTTCCTATTTTGTAATTTTTTAATATTGTAATTTATAATTAAAAAACACAACTTTGTGTAAATAAACACTCTACCATATTTGACACTATTTACATTGTTTGGACTGTTGTCCTCATCTTTGTTGATATATTCATAACGTTTTGGTTGTTGAACTGAGCCCTTTATTTTGTCTGCTCAGGTGCATGAAATAAAGGGCTCAGTTTGAAATTCCAATCACCTAAAGAAGGCAGGAGCATACAACGGATGAAATGTTGTGAATATGGCAACAAAGATGGTAACTGTCTGAGCAATGTAAATAGTGTAAATAATTACACTACCTCATCTCAGAAATGTAGATGGGTACTATATTTGAAATTAGAAATAAAGAAAACAAAATTAAATTGAAATATATTTCTTTAAAACTAAATCAAACAATAAGGAATTTCTTTTTCTTTTTTCTTTAGCTGGGTGGAGGTAGTGAAGTGAAATAATTTAAAAACGTTAACCCAACCCAATGATAAATATCCAAATGGGGTTTGTCATCAGCAATAGTTTATAGATCTTTTTTCATTGATGGAAACATTACAGGTGAAAAATACTTGAACATGTAAGATTGTTTTATCCACAATTCTCCAAATAAGTCTTCTCAGCAGGACAGTGCACCTGTACATCACTCACATCTCGTCATAGAATTTGGGGACACAAAATTACCAAAATGATGGCTTGGAAGAGTGAGACCACTCAGTTGGTTAGCAAAGTTTAGATATTTTTTGTTTGGAGTCATATTAATTATGTTTTAACAACAGTAAACACCAAACACTTCACAATTTAAAGAATTTAATTGGTTAAAATACATGTTCAGTAACACCTGAAATATGTCAAAATGAAATTTTAATAAAAGACTAGGTTATAAATTCTCCTCCAAAAAAAAAAAAAAAATTCTGAAACTGAATACACCTTGAAAATCTTACCAGTATTTACCTGCAGGTTCCTTGTGGGAATACTAGAGAATCATTCTTACAAGACAAGCTGGTTAACTATTTTACCTTTGTAAAATCCCTACTTCTGCAGTAAGTTATTAATTTATTGAGTTTTGCTTATGACGGTACAAGGTTAGAGCAGTGGAGCACTTGTTAAGGATAAAGATAAAAAATTTAAATACAATGTCAATCTTTAAATACAGTATTATCTTCTGTATTCTGAATTCCTGTTCATTTAGTGTTCTATCTCTTAATGTTTTTTTTATACTTAATATTCTTTCACATTCAGTAACACCCCCCCCCACGCGTGCTCATCTGTTAAGAAATTTAATTGAAAATTTTTTACTTTGCATTTCATTTGAATTTTCTATTTTGTGTCTCAAATGTATATGGTGTATGCAGAAGTTTACATTTTTTTTTTTTTTTTATTTAACTGTGTAGTTTTGTTTTTCAAACATGAAAAGACAGAACTTGTGCACACACATTCTCTCTCTCTCTCTCTCTCTCAAAATTTAACAATAATAGTTGATCAGTACACCCAGCTTAAAGTTATTTTATATCAGTGGGAACACTGGTTCAATCCCTATGACAAGCCACATTTACTTTTGATTACTCAGGCTGGCAGACATCAATTACAATGTTTTAAATAAAATGAGGATATCTATTCAAATAAGTTTATCCAATATATATAATGTTTATAGAAATAATATATATTCTTCTCCTCACTGGTAGCACAACTCTGGGTTTCATGTTCAACACAATCTTCAGGTGCTGTATTAATAAGTCAACAATCAGTACCTGAAGATTGCGTATTGTATGAAACTTGAAGTTGTTCTACTGGTGAGGGGAAAAAAATTAATATATAAATTATAGCTCTGTTATTGTACATCAAGAACTATTTTATTAACACTAGGACTCAATGTGCAATAAGAAACAGCAGATATTTTTATATATAGTGCTCAATTTTAAAAATAAAGCATTAATAATATTATATGAAAAGATTACTTAACTTTTAAATATCAATTCTTCTCCCAGCATCAATGTTTCTTGGCAAAATTTCAGTCTTCAAGGGTTGTGGTTTTAAATGGTATTTCCAATTCTTTTTCAATTAGTTCCCTGTCTTTTTCAATCCAGTTTTTACAATGTTTTGTACACGTGCATATTCATGAATAATGTATTATGAATACACATGTACAAAATGGAGTAAAAAGCTGATTGAAAAAGAACGGAACAAATAGGAAATACCGTTTAAAACCACAATCCCTGAAGACTGGAAATTTTACCAAGAAACATTGATGTCAGGATAAAAACAGACATTTAAAAGTTATATATATATATATATATATATATATATATATATATATATATATATTTTGTTCAGTCCTTGAAAATTAAAATAAACAAATTCTGTTCACAACTGAATAATTATGATTTTGTGTCAACAGACAATTCCACAACATAAACAATTCACTTACTTTTGACGTATAAAAATGCTACAATATATTTGTATATGAATACATTAATTAATTACATTTCCTTTATAACAAAACTGCACTCACAGTTTCAGTTATAATGTCAGTTTTATGGCAAACATTGTGAAATGTAGAATAGCCCTAAGTAGCCAGTCCTTCATAATAGTGAAATGATGAAGTCGTAGTTTCTATTGACGTAATAAGCGGCTCTTCACATGACATCTGCTGTGGGCAGGCCCACATATGGTAATGGCACTTAACTGTATTCTATGCTTAAAGTAACAATAAGGAGGTTTAAAGCCAGGACTGAGTATATTTTTATCTGTTTTATTTCATCGAAAACAAAATTTCTCTTTGAAATAAAGATAAATATTTTCAGATAAGTACCTGCTTATCATTTTGGTCAGTTAAAGATGAACTCTTAAATGTTGAGGATCTCCCCAATGTTGTGACTGCTGCTGCTTAAACAAGCATGTCATGTGGAGCATGGCATTTCCTTCATTAGAAGGGAATCCCTCCGCCCACATATAGTAATAGATCCATGTCACTTGCTTTTTTTATTACTGCAAATTGTAACACTGTTAGTTTAGTGACAGGATACCATAGAGGACAGACATCCTTGACTTCTCTTTGCAAAGTGGTCACTATTAGATACCACTGGCAAGAGAGATTATTTCTCTTCTACTTTCTATACCAAAAATGAAGATTAATTTACCTAAGCAGGTAATTTTTTTTTTTTAATTAATAAGTTTAAATACTTTTTTTATTTTTATTTTTTGGTTGTTATTATATAAACAATACAAAAATTTTCATGTGACACGTTTTGCCCTTTAGAACTTTATCTGACTAAAGTGATACGTTGATATAACTACACATGTGCATGAAGGAGAGAGGGGACAGCGAAATTAAAAAAAAATTTTTTTTAATGTGTTTTGAGTATATAGTTTAGCTGATTTCATTTAGTTATATATATAAATAAGGCATTCTGTGTTGATTAATTTTAATGATTGACTTTTCTAATTTATGAATAATCCTTCACAGACAAGGGGGAAATTCTATCAGAAATTGTCCAAAGTTCATTTCGGAAGAAAAGTACTAGAAATATGGTCCAAGTTTTTATCATCAGGGTAGGTAGCGACAATTGGTAAGTGTTGTGATGTAACTGAGGTGTGACATATGTGGGTTTATATATATATATATATATATATATATATATATATATATATATATATATATATATATATATATATATATTTTTTTTTTTTTTCCTGTAGTTCACTGCTACCAGCAAGCAGAAATATTTCTTCTCCTGATGATGGCCATGTTGGCCGAAACTAGTTGAGGAATCTAAATGAAATAATAATAAAAAAAAGTGAAGGAATATTAATCTACAACCCAGTGTGTCTGAAGATTTTAATTTTTTAATATATTTTATTGTTCAAAATATATATCTATATATATATATGAGGATACAGTCTCCTAAGTTATATTTGTTTTATTTATTGATGGTTGTTTTTGTTATATGAATATTGCTTCAAGGATCATAAGTTTGTTTTTACTATTTGATTTTGCTATTATTTTGGTCTTTTTTGTGAGTTCTATGATCCTTATGTTGCTTGTCTGATGGCACTATGATCTGATAAGTGGTAGGTGAGTCTTTGTGAGAATGAGGTTGTGGTATATTCTACGTAAAACATCTTAAGTTTTTTTTATTTACAAAGAAACATTCTCAGAGTGGGCAAGTATATTCATGCACAACATAGAAGATTGTAAATTTGAGATATATTTTTTTTAATAACTTAGTTGCTAGTTTTTAATTTTTTGTAGTAAATAATGAATCTGATGTATTTTATTTTATTGACTGGTTTTACATATTGTGGTTTCTGACCAAATTTCCTCCTTATTTGAAGATTGTTCATAAATTTTGATCATTAGAATTAACACAAAATGTCTGATTTTAATAATATTTACTTTAAAGAACTTTTGCTATATATATATATATATATATATATATATATATATATATATATTGTGTGTGTTTGCATTCCATTGTTATAAAATTACAGAAAATCATTTGTTAGGCTATATTTATTCATGATCCTTCTTTGTTAATTTATACATTTTCTGAACTGTCATCTTAAAACTTTATTCGTTTAACAGATATGAAATTGATAGATCTGTTAAATCTTTCATGGCTCATGTTCTGTAAGAATAAACAAACTCAAGGTTTATATATGGAAAACATCTGTTATTCTAAGTGTATGCATGTGAGTATATAATGAAAAAATCTAATCTGTAATTCTTCTATTTTAATTATATTGTTATAATTATTTTTCATTACATATCAAGACTAAGTAATTCATAGTTCAGTATTCAATAATGTTGAAACTATAAATTGATAACGGTTTGGTATCAAAGGTCATAGTAATGAAGTGTTTTGTCCTTTTTATTCATTTTCTTTTCTGGCTGTTTAAACTTTTCACTGACGTAGTGAAATTGAGATGCGACAACAAATTTGACGTATATAGCATATATAATGTTGGAAACAGACTTGACCCAGTCCATCCTCTACTTAAATATTCAAGTATATCTAAGTAGACTACAGAACGATAGCACTTGTTACAAATGTAGGAAGTTAGTTCTGCCATCCTGTTGTCAGTTACTTTTCATACATTGGTTTAGTAAGATGTAACTCGGCTATGAAGTGTACCTACACAAGAACCTTTTCTTATCTAATGTGTGTCAAAAAACTAATTCAGAGAAAGGTAAGATATAAATTAAACATTTGATGCTATCTATATTTAATATTGCAATCAACTTTCTTATTCCAAGTATCAGTTGATATTTCTTTGCAAATTATTTGAGACAATAATTAACTCCTCCTGTAGATATTTATACTTGTGGCTATCAGAGATTGTAGTTGTTAAATTGTAAAAACTATCAGTAAATGTTATAATTATCACTCTAATTTATCTGCAAATTTTGCATTTTCCATAATATGACGTCATGCAGGATTTTGTTTGCTAAGATCTTTTTTTTTTATTTTTTATATATATACATGTCTAATGTTTACAATAATTTTTATTATAATTCTGATTTAATTATGTATGTAGCCAATACACAGATATTTAAATCAGAATTAGTGTTCCTAAAAATGCCAGGATGAAACATAAAATCATTTCTTCTGGCATTGATTAATATTAACGTTCTTGATGATAAGAGATGGTTGAAAGTACTCGGATAAAAATATTACAAGCTTTGAACAGTTTCTGCTTAAATTTGATCCCCATATGACAGCTTAAATGCAAACTAGCAAAATGTAATTAAAAAAAAAAATAAATAAAAAACAGACCATTATTGAATTTATATGGTTGAAAAAAACGTTCTTTGCAGTTTCTAAATAGATTTAATGTTCTACAAACTGGGAGAACTTCCCTTCTAACCAGATAATAAAACATATTACTTCAAATGTTATTTACAGGTCTCTACAAAACAAATAATGTTTGAAGTAATAATAAAAAATGCATTAACACTTTATAATATTTAACTTTCATATAAAACATGATTTAGTTATAACTGAAAAACTTTAAAATGCTATCTAATACATTAATTTTACATCATTAGCTGAATTATTTTAAACATCTTACAGCAACATAAAAATAAGGGTTTTATAGAGAGAGAGAAAAGAAAATCCAATGTACAAATAAATTTAATTCTCCTCCCAAAGATGTGCTGAAGATTAAATGTGAAAAATATCCATGAAACTCTTGAGTACAGATTTAAAGAAGATAAGTGAATCATTTTATTTTATTACGTATAATTATATAATAATTATTTAATTGCACTAGGAAGATCTAACATTTTAATATTCTTATCAATACTCTCTTTTCAATTTGTGCATTTCATTATTTTCTCATTTGAGTGTATTTAATGTTACACATGATACTTAATGCAATTATTTTCTATTTTGATGATGTCTCTATACAAAAAGATACGGTTTACAATTTTCTGTAAGAAATTTGACAGAGGAACTAACTGAAGTTATAATAATTATATAAGTTGATGATCATTATGAATTTGCTTGCTCTTGTCCCAGATAATCATTATTTGCTAAAAGACTATACAAGAAAAAATAAATCAAAAAATTAAGAACCAAACATGATAAAGAAAACAATGAGGTAAATAGGATATAATGCAAAAAAAAAAAAGGATATAGTAGATGCAAAAGCTCCAAGTACCCTTTTCTGGGAAATTTTGCACATACTTAATACCAGTTCTTCCAGGAAGAAAATTAAGCCACGAAAGATTAGATTATGCCAGTCTATTTGTACCACTTAAAAAATGACCAGTAAGTGCTGTTGAAATTAGTATTCTGTAAGAACTGTATAATACTTTAAATTTATGGTAAGAATCTTTAAATTTTCACATTATTTTTATAATATAAAAAATATTACTATTCAGAATTTTATTAATTTAAATAATTAACTAGTGTTTTATCTCAATTTTTTTTATTACAAAAATTAATTTTTGGCATGGAATTGTAAGAATTTACAATATTTAATAATTATCAAAGGCCAACTTGAAGTTTCATAATTTGTCAATCACAAGAATCTTGTTTAAAGTTTTGATAAGTATTGAAGATTATTATATCTAATTTACTTATACACACATATGAGTAGCAATTTTCATTTATACAGATTTGGTTAAATACAAGTTACTTCACTAAACTTGTATGCATATATATATATATACACACACACACACACACACACGAATTGTTATTTGAAAAATGTTTTAATTCTGTCATTTTCTAGATAACTGTGTACTAAAATTTACACAAACACTGCATTTTTTAAATACTTAAAAGTATACACAAAACCTCAGAAAACAAAGTTACATAAATCTTTTTAAATATTTTTAACAAATTTTATAGTAGCAAGAACTTGTAATGAGATATTTTTATTTATATATTTTGCATATGTATGTATATTTTCCATTTTATATATATATATATATATATATATATATATATATATATATATATATATATATATAGTCAAAATTTGGTTATTATTAATTTTAATATTCTATAAGATTGTAATAAAATGTGTTCATTTTAATTTCTCATGAATTTTTTTCTTACTTCACCCACCACCACATACACATTTTTCTAGAAAGGTTTTTTCCTAATTTTTTTTTTTTTTGGTCTCATCCCTCAAATTCTTTCAAGTAGTTTTCAATGAACATCTGTAATAACTGACCCAGATTCCCTCTTCTATTATATATGAATTCATCAGGAAGGAAATACTTTGGTGTGTGACAGTGGATATTATTAGAAGTTTTTCTTTGAAATTCCCTTTCTGCATTCAAACAGTTTTCGCTTTTAGTAGAAATTGTATCAGGATGATTGTCGTGCCTACAATTCTCTTTACTACTGAAAATATTTGTTTATTTTAGTACTTGAAATCTATTCATCTATGAGTATGACTATTTAATTACTTTGTTTATATTTCTCAATGTTTGATTCATTTCACATTTATTATGTTTCACATATTTTGTTTAACAGTTTGAATTCCTCATTTTTATATTTTTACATTTTACTTTATATTAGTTCCTAATGCCATATATGTTTCCAATATGAGAGAATTAATACAATCTGATGCTCTTTTTGAGAACCACCTGCTAATTTGTTAGCTTTTATGCTAAAATCATGGCTCTCCACA